ACATAACTTCCATTTGCTCAAGCCACCTGGAAAAATGATAAGATATGTCCAGCAGTGATAAATTACCTTTAACACCAACAAGGGGAAAGAAACAGACACTCATTTCAGCAAATGGAAGATAGGAACAAGGAAGCCTACATTGCCCACTGGTTTTCTGGTTGACGAACAGTTTACTTGCCTAGGTCCTCCAGTAGAGAGGTTAGAATAAGGGTACCCGGTGTTTTTTTCTGTAGTCTATTTTAGTAGGCCCCCAAAAAGACACGGTAAAAGGGCAGCCTGTGGCCGGAACCCCTCCTTGGCCAGCCGCGAGTTCACGGGCGCCCGCGCCGTGCGTTGCAAGAGCTCGGTGGTCGCCACAGGACTCGGAGAAAGGGGCGCAAACGTGCGAGCGACGCTGAAAACTCCAGTGACTTCAATTTGCCGTGTTTTGGTGCTTTTGCTGTTTTGTGTTTTTGCGGTATTTTCCAGGTGGCTTGTTTTTGTTTCTGTTGTTTGTTGTTGTTTCCCTGTTGTTGTTAAAGGGGATCTATCACTACTGGAAATATGTCTCTTTCATCCAGGTGGCTTAAGCAAATGGAAGATGAGAAAGGTTTGCACAATCCCTACAAAAGGCTACTCGAATGGAGGGGGGGAGGCAGGGGAGGAGGGAGCATGTTAAGCCCCTTGTTTTTGCTCCCTCTCCCCTCCCCTCGCTCCCCCCCAGCCTGCATGATATACCCTTTCCACAACTTGGCGTGGCAGGAACCGCCGATTTCAATGGCGAAGGTTTTTTGTCTGGGCACTGCTCCGTTGGACGACCCTGAGTCCCCGAAGCGGCTCAGAGGTAGATCCGACTTGGGGGGCTTGTGAACCAGGAATGTGCAGCTTCTACTAGGGGCGGCAAAAAGGTCCTCCAAGTGGGAGTATTGGATCAATCAACCCTGGTTGCGTCCATTCTCCGGTGTGTTAGGAGGCTCCCAGACGTTGAGACAACATGAACAATCTCATTGCCTGAAGACAAACGTGAGATTCGGACCATGGACATTGATGTAACGACAATATTTTGGATATATAGTTGCATGTATATTCCTAGAAGTACATACTGGAAGAATAAGTTCCAGTATAAACCTGTCGACATTTTAGACATGTTCCCGATGCACCTGTTCGAGTAACTGGGCAAAAACTGGCTTGATGTGTCAACTAACCGCAAATGAAAGCAAAGATCTTGGTTTCCATTCCGAGTTGGCACTGCCCCTTCCAGTGGGTCCTTTACAGAAATCTAACAAGCCACATGGTACATGTAGACACCCTGAAAACAACTGGTAAAAATGTTTTCTTGTGTGGCCCAAATGCATCCTTGTGTTGGGCCCTGTTCAGGGTATCAGTACAACATCCCTTTGCAAGGTTAGCTGCACAAATCGCCTTCTTGCTCATGAACGAACTATCAAAGCATTCACGAGGCGTCCATCCCAACTGGTGCAGGTTTTCGTCCATCCACAGTGTCACACAGTGTCTGAACAATGTTTGCACGTAAGTAGCATCCCGAATTCACCAGTCAGACCTTGTGGACAGACTGCAAACATGCCCATCCTGTCCCAAAAAGTGAATAACTAGCCTAATTCTGCGAGCAACCCAACTGTCCATAGCCGCGGGTCGAGACTGAAAAACTTGGGAACGATATGGGTGTGTGGGTGTTTTAAAATAGGCTTATTTTGGTTTCCCGCTCAAGCCACATGAGACTCTGCGTGCGTCGCACCGGAAGTCAAGTGCACACTTGTGTCGGAAAACTGAGGCCCTTGCTCCAGATCTGGCACCTGGGCCGAAGTGGACGGAATCATTCACCAACCTCGAATAGTTTGGCCAATAAGGTAGGATGGGAGGGCCAATGGGTTTGAGGTTTGGATTTAGTTTGGGTAGACGCGAGTGTCCGAACAACTTCGGCTGTGTCAAATAACAGTAAATAGTAGATGTGTAAGTCAGTGAGTGCAAGTTGAGTGAGTGAGAGTGAGAGGGGTTGAGTGAGTGTCTGAGTGAACGTTGAGTGAGTCAGGGTGAGGGTGGTTAAAAGCCTGTGAGTGTAAGACACAGTGTGTAAGTTAGTGGGTGTAATTTAAGTAAGAGAGAATAAGTGTGTGAGCCACGCAAGGCAACAAAGGCGGCCTGGGCAACGTCACGCGCCTGCCACGCAATCCACGCAAACAGCAAGCGTTCCACCCACCCCGGTCCGTGCAGACCAGTGGCAGAAAAGCACAACGTGCTGCGCCTGTCTCGCAATCGCGCCCATGCAGACAGACCGCCACCCAAGCCGACCGAACCAGTCTAAAGCATTCTGTTGACACACCAGGGCGCGTGGAAGCGCAGGTTCTGGCTCTAACCCTCACATCAAAAGCGAGCTGGCGGCATTTAAAGATGCCCCATCAGCAGCCCAATCTATCATCCGGATCTTCTGTGCGAGCATGAAATTAACACTCTTCTTCAAGCAGTTGCACGGAGAAACAGATTGTTCGATTCATAGTGTAGTGGAAAAGCCGCCTGCGAGGGACTCCTGCTTCCGTCTTGAGGATAGGACGCGGTTTCAGATAAATCTTGGCGACTTGTCTGACTGGGCGCAGAAAAGCATTCACTTTGAGCCTCCCATCTAGCCGCAGTTTTGTACGCCTGGATGTTGTGAATAGCCGAAGCCTTGGCCAGGGCTTGCACGCACAAGTCTACCTCGCAGTCTTCCTCCGCGTAGAAGTTTCCCAATGACCAGGTGACGCCTTTCCATGCCAATCGGTCACAAGGCGTGTTCCTTCTGTCTCGTCCCCGCACTCTGACAGGGTGACGCCTTTCCATGCCAATCGGTCACAAGGCGTGTTCCTTCTGTCTCGTCCCCGCACTCTGACAGGTCCACACACAGCTCCTGGCGAGCTTCCCACGCAAGCTTCGTAAGCACAAGGCGCTCTTGGAGTGTGAGTGAGTGCGAGTGAGTGAAAGTGAGTGAGTGAGTGAGTGAGTGAGTGAGTGAGTGAGTGAGTGAGTGAGTGAGTGAGTGAGTGAGTGAGTGAGTGAGTGCGTGCGTGCGTGAGTGAGTGAGTGAGTGAGTGAGTGAGTGAGTGAGTGAGTGAGTGAGTGAGTGAGTGCGAGTGAGTGCGTGCGTGCGTGCGTGAGTGAGTGAGTGAGTGAGTGAGTGAGTGAGTGGAGCGAGTGGAGTGAGTGGAGCGAGTGGAGTG